CACCATAACAACACGTCGATATTTTGTATGTGTGTCTTTACACTAGAGAAGGCACACATAAGTAATTCTTAGGACCGTAGCGTTTATCACGCTGCGCTGACAATGCAATGCAATGCTCAAAAAGGCAAGTGTTTCCAACGCTTTGCTAAGACGACACAGTGGTGGCACCTGTCCGTCGCTTTGCGTTCTACACCTTATCGCCTACGAGGCAGGCGCGCACGCCTTCCTTCAGGTTCGAAGATAACTGCCAGACAGCGATCCTGTCGGACTCCTTAGCTCCTCCAGAATAGAATAGAACCGACACCTCCAGAATAGAATTCACCAAATTGTTTGCGCAGAACATCAAATAAACGTTTTGTTCGCTCTCTCCAGACGTAAGACTATCGTCTTTCGACGACATTTGCAGTGAAAAATGTAGATACAGAGCCAATTTTTTTACATGATGATCGGCTGGGCAACATTTACGGAGGCTTTGCGGTTTACCTATCTACCTCCGAAGCTTCGCCCACTCATCATCATTCACTCCGCGAATATGCTGTGATTTTTTACAATCTATTCTAGTAATGGGTCGGCGCCATGACACTATAAGAGGCATGCGAGCCAGCCTCGCGCAGGTGTCGCGAGCCCCAGTACGTACGAGCGCGACCGCTTTTCTACGTAGTAGCGTTTCACAAAAAAAAAACGAATGATTCATTGAAACGCCACAGAATAGCGCGACAAGAGGCCACGCAAGGCGACTTGTTTAAGGCGTCAAGCGCATGGACAGTACTTGGGGCCAATCCGGCGACAGTCTGTCAGCAGTCGAAGTGTCGGCATTGACGGGATCTTCCAGACAGGGCGAACAAGACGACTTTAATATCATCACTTTTATCGTGATTGCGTTCTGCGTTCTTGCACTGATCTTGTCTTTAGTCGTCGCCATCCTCTTTACTCGAAACCTGGAAACCTACGACGAGAGCGATGACGCTGGCGGCCGTGCCAACGACGACACAAGGTTTCCTAGAGGTCGCAGTTCCTCTTCCAGTTCTGGTTCCGGGCCACCAGCAACGGTGAAGGATACCTTCGCGACGACGGAGGTGCCGGCAGCAACGATGCCTGGGCGAGCACCACAAACCACGCGAGAAGTACCACCGATGCCGCCTTCCATTCCTGCTGCTAAGCCTACGGCTTCCCAGCTCACCTCATCTGCGATGGAGAGAGTAACTACTACACCAACAACACCCAGTTCACTTCTTCCTACACCACCACGAAAACAATCGTCGATAAAACCCCAGTCACTTCTGTGCACTTTCGGCAACAAGACCAACTACGGCACAATCTTTCCGGCGGACGGTGTGTGTGACTACATCTTCTACGACTCCATGTACAAGAACAACAAAAACCCGCTGGTCGCCAACTGGGACTACGACGTGTACTCCATCCTCTCGAAGGCGCAGAAGACGGACAAGAAAAAGACGCAGTTCGGCCTGGGTTTCGCCTTCGAGCATCGTCGTAGACTCGTTGAAGACCTGGTCAACTCTTCTCTGGAAGTCTTTTGGGGACACAACGTGTTTCACTTCGGCATCCTCGACTGTCCCGGGCACAAAACTAAGCAGGCAGACATGGATGAAGTCTTCGTGGCCCTTCAGACGCTGGACGCCGCTGTCCTGACGGCGAGGGCCTCGGGAAACACCTCGTACATCGTCTTGGGCGCCGTTTCGCACACTGACGATTGGAACGAATACTTCAAATCCAAGTTCGGCAGCGTTTTCACGCCCGACCTGTTCATCTCTGTGAGCCACCAGTTCCACGGCGATCCGGAGAGGATCAATTGCAGCGCCACGCCACCAACCATTGTAAAAAAGCCGCAAGGGTTATATGACGCCCACGACTTGTATGACGCTACTCGCGCGTTGGTGTCCATCGCTTCTATAGCTGGAGGTCCGCGGCTGTCCCTCTCGCTCTCGATGAAAGGTCGCTGGTCCACGTTGCTCTCGGCTTCCCCGGCGACGATCTTCTCGGCGTGCGAGACACTCGGTCCGGGACCCTTCTTCGGCAGCTACACCGAAGTATGCAATACGCCGCCCTTCTCGACCAACATTGTGTATGAACTGCCGTATCACACGTCGCGCGCTTTCGACCCCGGGACGCGGCGTATGCTCGCATACGAGGACGAGAAATCTGTGCGCCAGAAATTGTGTTTCGCCAAGGCCAACCAAACCGCGGTTGCGTTTGGCGTTGCCGTCTACGACTTAGACTACGAGGACGCCGACAACACGTGCGCGAACCAAAACACGAATGGAGCCTACAGCCGCCTGCAGACTGCGAGAACCGTGGCAAAGTATTTGGCTAACGAATTCATCGATGCATCAAAGTTGGCCGAGTGTTCCAAGGTGTCTCGTTAAGGAAGTCGAACGTTAAGATTTTTCAATAGCGAATTAGTGGTTATTCGATCATAATTTATCATAAAAGAGTATTACCCGGACAATTCGATTTTTGCTGAAAAAATAAACTTGTTCTCTACACTTATGCAAGATTGTTTCACGCACGCCCAGTTAATGGTAGCACCGCCAAAATGTACAATTTTGAGAAGCAGAAGAATTACACTAGTTACATCGGGGAAATGCAGCCACTTTTATCATATGTATTCTCAATGTGGCTCGGGCTCACGCCGTTTCGTTTTTTTTATTTTTTTGCGCACCCAGGAGCGTTATGCATAAATGCAGCTTTCCTTCATCTGTGCATAAATGCATGCCGACGCCATGTTGTGAAGTTCTGCTTAGATCACGGCTGTGCCTCCACGTCTCCGCCGGCGCACCGAGTTCTTGTTCTCGTCGGCTTCCCGTACGACCACGTCGACATATTTTGACGACGAGTGCAGCGATTAAAAGCCATGTGTACCCTTCAGGATAGTTTGGAGATTCTTCCATCTCGCCGTTCTCCACATCCCGCCCCAGCGACACCCTCTTTTTGCGCAGTAAACTTGCCGATGGTGGCAGTAAACTTGCCGATTACTTGCCGATGGTGGCAGCGCAACGTGGCGCGGAGCAGCGGAGGTCCGCCACCATCACATCTGAGCAGTGCGTGGTGGGCGGGTGTTCGTAAAGCAAGCGTTATTTGCACGAAATAACCTGGCAGAGGAAGTCATCTTCACTGTATTTACAAGCAAACGCGTGGCTTTGTGGTATAACACCTACCTGCCACGCAAACGACCTGGGCTTGATCCCCACTAGGACACTGAAACTTACCTTTAGGGGCTAAACTCCTTATAGCGGCACCCGTTCGTCCCTCGTAGCCGTTGTAGTATGCAACAAGTATAACATTTTGACCTCCAAGGTGGTGCCGGTGAGAGATTTCTTCTGTGCGTTGTTGAACAATAAAAAACAGTACTCAATGTACATGCCAATGGCTGCTAATGGGGAATGAGAGGCGGGAGCATTCGGCTTTTAGTTAATGCGCACGCTGCGATCTCCATTAGCAGCCATTGGCATGTACATTGAGCACTATCTGACAAGAAAGAGCTGCTACGTTATACTCGCTGGGTTTAACCTCCTTAGTTTTAGAAAGGTTTAGCGAGTGTTCAGCCGCAGTGCCATGAATGCAATGTACTAGTATATACCATGAATGTACTCGAGGTGGTTAAAGGTGGGAAGTAGATACGAAGCGCAAGCCGTAAGAAAGTAAAAGTCGAATTCTCCTGTTTCTCATTCCCCATTAGCAGACATCGGCATGTACATTGAGCACTATCTGACAAGAAAGGGCTGTTACGTTATACTCGCTGTGTGTAACCTCCTTAGTTTTAGAAAGGTTTAGCGAGCGTTGAGCCGCAGTGCCATGAATACAGTGAACACTTAGTATATATACCATGAACTCGAGATGGTTAAAGGTGGGAAATAGACCCGAAGCGCAAGCCGTAAGAAAGTGTGTGTGTGCTACCTCTCGTTTAGTCCTTGGAATGCCCGCTGGATGGCGGTGCTTCTATATGGGTAATATATGATGAAAAAATGCGAGATGGTGGTACTTTGAGTGTTGAATAGATGGACGAAGGGACACACAGACAGATGCATGGGTGGACGCATGAAAGGACGCAGGGGCGGATGGATGGACGAACGCAGGGACGGATGCACAAACAGACGCACGCACGGACGCATGGACGGTCACACGTACAGACGGATGCACGGACAGATGGAAGCAAGAAAGAATGGACGGACGAATGCTTCGCCCCACTGTCCATCATTCATTCCGTGGATATGCTGCCATTTTTTTTTATGCTATTGAGCATTTTACGGGCTAAGATTAGCCAGGAAACTATAGGATTAAGCCACACGTTGGCGTGCTAGTTAATAGGAATTCAATTTTAAAGGCGTTGAATTTTGAGTGTTTATATTGGCGGACTGGTGTTCTTCAGGACTCCTCATGAGACCACCTTATGTGACCTAGATATCACCGGCATGAGCGTTCAGTTGTGATACTCGCATGGTGCAGCCACAGGTACAAGTTTGGTTATAATTTAAAGCTGCCTGTATATAGCCGTTACAAAGGGCTGAGCCTGAATTCAATATCACCAGCTACAGCCTCAACAAATCCTGCAGCTACGTAGCAGTGCTTTGTGCCTCATAGACGCGTAATGAATGGTACTTGGTTATATTGGCATGGGCACAAGAGGGGGAAGGGGGAGGCACCCCCTTGTCACCTAAAAGGGGAGGGCAGCAAAGTCTGCCTTATACATTGACTTAATAAGAAAGGGGACTGCTTTGAAAAAAACATTACCCCCTCCTCTTCCCCACGAAGGTGAATTCTGCGCACACTTTTTTTTTTGGTTACTTAGAGACATGATAATAAATGGTGGCTTAATGGTTCTTGGAAGGCCGCACGAGCTTAAGCTGTGGCTGTGCTGCGCGTACTGCGCAGGTATGGCGTTTTGCACAAGATGAGACTAATAACATCTTGCCGCAAGAGAGGCGCAATGTCAAACCAGTCAGCCTAAGAAAACTACTGCCTAGCAGTAATAGGCGACTCGAAGAAGAAAAGAATTGCAATACACATTTATTAAAATAGCGCACTTTACAGAGGTTGTCGAAGCGTATAAATATAAAAAAGGGGGAATCGAAGACGTTCTGGCATGCCGCAACTTCGAGCCAAGACGAGAGGTCAGCAGGGTATTCCTTAAACAAGGCCAGACCACCTGAATGTTGAAAAAGGACATACCGACAAAAATGTTTTAGTCCGTGAAACCGACACAGCGAACAAAATACATAATCAAGTGAAGTCTGCGCTAAGCCGTATCAAAACCCTCTCGAATGTTTCAGAGTACCAGGGTATAATCAGATCCACGCGCGAGACAGAAATGTGCAACATGTTCCGCAAGCACCGGCTGCGCTGGAACGTACTGCGACTTGTGCCAGAATTCTAGATGCGTTAAGTCTGCCCATCAGATTTGGGGAACAGTGCACAATCTTGTACTAACAGCGTTTCGTTCGCTGGACAACCATTTGCCTATAGTAAAGGGGAGAACACTGACATTTGGATGCTGCGTTCTTGGCTCTCGGAATCATGTGACAATGGGCGGGGCAGGCCAAACATCGCAAGTGTGCTGCAACTAGGTTAGTCTTGAAATGGGAAAAGGATTAAACAATATTAAAAAAATAGCTGCAAGAGGTCATTTTAAAAATTGTTTCAAATCCATGAAGTGAGAGGTTATGATGGAGCGAAGCTAGGTTTCAAAGGGCCCCTGAACCCACTGTAATAATTTTTTCACATATCTTAAGTACAAACGCGCGCATCGTGAGCAAAATGCCCTCGCGATCAACATCTCTACACGTGGCAGCCCTACGAGCCGCCGGCGCGCCACGAATTCCAAGAAACAATCCCTGCTTCTTATTTTTAGAGACGATAGCCTTTCTTGGGGTACTTCGCCGCAAAAATTTCGGTCTTGCAGTCTGTCTCGGTCTGTCTGTTTGTCTGTTCATTCGTCTGTCCGTCTGTTTGTCTGTTCATTCGTCCGTCCGTCTGTTTGTCTCTGTTCATTCGTCCGTCCGTCTGTTTGTCTCTGTTCATTCGTCCGTCCGTGCATCCGTCCGTCCGTCCGTCCGTCCGTCTGTCTGTCTGTGTCTGTCTGTCCACCGTAACGATACCCCAAACGGCACCAAACGATACTCCAAACGACCAACCCCATCCGCAGCGCCCACCAATATTGTTAAAGTTTCAGCGTTCATACTTCTGCGATTGTCAATTAAAAAGCAAATATTGCGCATATAGCAATATTTGCTTTTTAATTGCGCAAATATTGCGCAATTAAAAAGCAAATATTGCCTCGATGCGCTCGTTCGCCTTCGCTGCACGGATCAAGACTCTCTAACGCAGCGCTTCCAGAATACAATTCACCGATTTTCTCGCGCAGAACATCAAATAAATATTTTGTTCACACTCTCCACACGCAATACTATCATCTTTCGATGACATTTGCAGCGAAACATGCAGATAAGGGGCCATCTTTTTTTAAATTTATATTTGGCAGAATATGGGAATGTAGGCTACGTTAGAGCCGGCTATCCCAATAACATGGCAGTAATGTACAGGATAAACACACAAAGAAGAAAAATTAAGAATAAAATACGAAAAAAAGTTGGCAGATCCCACGCACTGTGCGAATCGATGATATGCGAAGCACCAATGAGGAAGGTTGATATGTCGCTTTAAAAAAAATCACGACGTTACCAGGCGGACGTAAATTATTCCGTACATCACTTCCATGCCATTATTATCATGCTTGAATGAGTCATTAACTTTCGTTGTCTATTCACGTCACATGATACCAAATTTAGTACCACGTGACGTGATATGTGGAGCTAGCCAAACAGCCGCGAGCACGCTATGAGCGTAGCATGTGGTCCTGTATTACATGACACGCATGTCATGATTTTCGTCCGGTTATGCAACTCGACAAAGGCATGAGCGCACAATAACACCCTATGCAACCCGTGACCACTGCTTTAAATATTCATTCTTTCCACGAACTATAAACGACTGGAACAAGCTAACCAACACCGAAGTTTTACAGCCATCCTTAACATTGTTTTCTAGCCTCAATAACAGTGTTTAATATAGTATGTTAATTAAGCTCTGTCCCCATAAACGTTCGAATGTTTGCATATTTGGGTTACATTGTGCGTACTCTTGTTTCTGTGTGTTTTTATCTTCCTGAAGCCATGTTTTACATCACACGCATATAATGATTATCATGTTTGGATGCGTCATTTACCTTTGTTGTCTATTCACGTCCCGTGATACCAAATTTGGTATATGTGGAGGTAGCGAAACAGCCGCGAGCGCGCTATGAGCGTAGCATGAAGCCATGTTTTACATCACACGCATATAATGCGCGTGTGATGCGCATGCATCAAATATGCGCAATACCAAATTTGATACCTAATTTGGTATTGCGGAACGTGAATGGATGATGAAGGTACATGACTGGTGCAGACATGATAATCATGTATCAAATTTGGTATTGCGGAACGTGAATGGATGACGAAGGTACATGACTGGTGCAGACATGATAATCATGACATGCGTGTCATGTAAAACATGGTTTCATGCTACACTCATAGCGCGCTCGCGGCTGTTTCGCTACCTCCACATATACCAAATTTGGTATCACAAGACGTGAATAGACGACAAAGGTAAATGATGCATCCAAACATGATAATCATGACATGTGTGTCATGTAATGCCGGACCACATGCTATGCTCATAGCGTGCTCGCGCCTGTTTGGCTAGCTCCGCATATCACGTCAAGTGGTACTAAATTTGGTATCACGTGACGTGAATAGACAATGAAAGTTAGTGACGCATTCAAGCATGATAATAATGGCATGGAAGTGATGTACGGCATAATTTACGTCCGCCTGGTAACGTCGTGATTTTTTTAAAGCGACATATCAAACTTCCTCATTTGTGCTTCGCATATCATCGATTCCCACAGTGCGTGGGATCTGCCAACTTTTTTTCGTATTTTCTTCTTAATTTTTCTTGTTTGTGTATGTGAAGCTAGCGAAACGACCGTAAGCACACCATGAGCGTGGCGTGTTGTCATGACAAGTCATAACATGAACATTATGACATGCATGTCATGATTTCCACGTTTCTCACTTATGTTCACCATGCAGTCATGCCATACCGTGGATATGGTGTGATAACAGCTGCGTATAGATGGTTTGACTGCTTCCACCTATCCACTCAATAACAGCAGCAACAGGACAAGAACTTACACTTGTTGTAAAATAAAAATTGAAACACACATAACAAACTGATGAACATAATAAAGAAACACACATTTTTGAGAAAGTGGGGTTAATAGCACCAGTTAAAGTAATGCGTATTTTTTAGAAACAACTTATTAAGTAACACACTCAAATAAAGCACTCAACACTCGTGGCAATATGAGTGTCATTACTAAAACAAATAATTCTGAAACAATTAGCGTAAGTTAATGCCACAGTCATTTTTAATGCATTTTTCATTGTGGCATTTTACAAACTGTAGCTTTATATGAATCATTATTACAGGGCTACGACTTGTAAATCAAAGTAGCGGATACCTTGAGGCAAAATGAACAATCTATTGAGGGAATTCAGACAATAAGAGCTCACCAAACACCGGTTTCATAGTGCCAAATGCTTTGTTTCCATTGCACTAGACGTCCAAGAGCTGATTCCAGTAGTCAGCCGGCAGCGACAGTAGCGTCTCCATCACCTGAAAAAAAGTGGAATGCAAAAGCATGCGCTTTTTTGTGCAACCAAATGCGAAACGATTCATAATTTTCTTTTTTACATAGGCTATCTGAGTCAATACAGGCATGTAGTGACACTTTAGTTTCAAGTTTTTACTTCACTACCCTCACCCTCTGTTCAGTTCACCTGCGTCGCGCTTAGTACTACGATGGCACAGGATATAGTTGCTACACGAACAGTACTTAAAGTGTTCTGGTGGGCTCGCCGATTCCTATCCTCTAAAACGTTGTCACACTGCGCCATAAGAGAAGCCCACAAGTAAAACATATGTGCGCCACGAACGCAGGTTTCAAAACTATTTCATGTAACCATGCAAGAACATCGGCGTACGCATTCTTGCATCCATTACATCGCAACGTTTCTTTCCTTTGGGATACGACAAAAAGAGAAAAGGTCGACAAAATCGACTGAAAACAAAAAGTTAAAGATTGTTTTCGCCTTGGGGTCATCTTAGGCGAATGCAGAATAGACAAGAGTATAAAGTTGGGCGTGTTGGTAAGGCTTAACTAATAACGCAGCGCGTAAAATATGCGAGACGCAGGATAGGGGAAGGGAAGCGCTCCCCTTTGTCCCTTCCATAGTCCTGTGTCTCACATATTTTACTCGCTACGTCATTAGCGGAATAGACCCCGCGACTTCCTTTCTTTTCACGGTGGTGCTAGCACCACATTTCGGAAGACTTATGGCCGTTCCTGCGCAGTCAGGAGGATTGCTCAAAATTTGGAAGTAACCCGGGTGTTAAGTGGGAGAGTCCGCTGCCAGGTGCATCCATTACACGGTCTAACGGATTCTTGGCCCCCACCTTGTTCTGCTGCTCCATCTCGAGGAAAAGGTTAGGCACCGATGCAGTGTCGTTGACCGAGCACCCCACCACGGTGGGTGCAAAGACACGCGCCAGGTTGGATAGAGGCATCTTGGCCTCGGGGTGGGCCGCCACCATCTGCAGGTGCAGCACCAGGGCAGCCAGAGTGTCACGGTTGGCCGGAGGAAGTTGCATCACAGCCTGCCACATGGCCCACACACGGTCTTCATGCTCATATTCTGCACGTGTGAGAGAACCGAGAAAGAAGTTCAGTGGTATGTTGCAGTATGATTATGACACTCCAAACTTTTGCGCAGGGGCCACATGTGGCAAAGTGCAAAGAAACTGTTCTTGAGTCATCAAGGAGTCATGTGTTGGCTGTTCACGCATGCGCTGAAATGTGCTTCTCTCGTGAGCTTAATTCTCCGGCTGTTTTTAAAGAGCTAGTAGTTGGGCACTTCACTTGCTTCTCTTCTGTCCCCCCTTTTTCGCGAAATGTATTTTGCGCCACAGTCAAGTGTACTTAAGCAATGTAAGCACCAAATCTCGCGAAAAGAAGTCCCTTTGGCATCCACGAGTTATGATGGGTAGACATAACAAGGCTGTGGGGGCCGATAACAGTCTTGGTAGCACTTACTTCGATCAGACGGGTACTAGAGACACACAAGCCACACTTTTTAAATTGCGTAGCAAAAGCAACTGTTCGGATTTAGAGATCTGGGATTATGAACACGTTGAGGAACTTAGCTCAAGAGCAATGATGAACAGTAATAATGAACGCATTGACAAACACGCCACGAACTATGAAGACCGTGGTTGAGCTCCTCAAACATGATAGCGCATACGTGACGGTGATTAATGCATTGAATCAGTCATCGGCAAAGCAAATGACTAGTAGACTCGTTGACATGTAGATGCGCGCGATTATGATGATGATGAACAGTCATGAGGAACGAGTTTGACTTAGTAAAGCTCATACACTTGTTATCGCGCAGTACACCCATGTAGTACGCCTTTTCGCTGTATACAAACAGGTCCTAAAGGACTTCCGGTTTTGTGCGCTGGCGTTTCTTATTATCACTGACGGGGACCTAAATCCTCAACGAGTAGCCCACTCATTTCCAATAGTTTTCTCCCTTCGTCTGGCCAAATATTTCAAACATTATGTTAAGCTACAGAAAAAATTATAGGAGTTCTTAACTTTAAGCGCCTTTCTTGTACCTTAATGCGGAAAAAGTCCCGTTATTCTAGCACAATTAAAAAAAAAAACAAGCTTCTTGTTCCAGTGTTGAAGAGTAATGCTTGAAGTGATCGGAAGTTTCTTGGGCAGCAATTAAGATGTGCTGCTTCTCAATAGTCTCAAATATGCCACTCGGACTGTACGTGTAGTTGAGTAAGTCCTGGAACTTAAGTGAGCACCAGCGGTAATAACACTGGAATATGCGATGACTCGCACATAAAAGCCTACGCTGCCCATCAAGATAAGGTTATCGGTAAATGCGCACAGTGCTCATTGTTATCGGACAGCGTTACTTCCTTCGCTGTCCATTGGTCTGGGCAATGAAGTCAAACTTTTAATACATTGTGTGCTGAATAGTATGAGCCAAAGTTAAAGTTTCGGTGATGAACAGAGAAATGGGGCTGAGGTTAAATATATGCAACGAAAAAGGTAATGTCCTAAAAACGTCGCGATCTACCACAGCCAAACTAATTTCTGGATGGACGCCTTCTCAATTTCATCACAAACGGCCTCTCATAAGAGGACATGCTATTAATCTCAAACACGGAATATTGAAGAAAAGTCAGCTTGCAAAAGTTCACAATGCAGATGAGTATTCATGAAAGCCGAAATATTGACATGTACACACTGTGCCAAGCAGACAAACGTGGTGCGCCTATGCCGAGAAGAGCTCCTCCGACAAAACATAGCAGCCCGGAGTGGCAATCGCTCTATGATCGGGAAGAGCGCGTGGCGGCGGAGGCCCGCTGCAACCGCCTCGCAGCGGTTGCTCCAGAGAACCGGAGGAAGGCTTTTGTGGGGAATTCTAGGTGCGTCGAGCATCACTGTTCCTTGCAGGTCGCATTAGTATATCGCAAGTGGGAAGCGTCGCGAAGAGGCTTTTCGTGGTCCGTTAACTTTGTCGACTGCACACAACGAAAATTTAGGATGGGGGCCTGTCTCGCTTAAAGGATGAAAGCCTCACCTGTTGCGCTGACGAAAGCGTGCCACAGCGACTTGGTGACGAGGCTCTCCCTAAGCGAGAGAAGGAAGGCCTTGAGAACGCCGCACACGGCATAGATGTCAGCCTTGGACTGAAACAAACAGAAACAAACGAAAAATAACACCGACGAACAGCTATCGTCGCGCAACACAATTCACGAAGCAAGACAGCAGTGAATGTTGTTCACAAACTCGAGCTTGAAAGAGGCATTTGAAGGGTGGGAATATTCATGCTGTTGATTTATGTATATACATATACAAACATATATAAAATGTAAAAGTTTCGGGGGAGGTTTGAACCTCCAGAAAGCACCTTATGGGTTATGTCTTTTTTTCTCAGCTGTTGGCGCACGCGCGAATACAAACACACACAAAGAAGATTTACTTTAAAGTCTTTTTCCAGTATGAAAAGTAACAGAACAAAATCTTTATTCCCAAGAATAAAAATTTATTGAGGAACAAGCCATGTCAGTTCACCATTTGCTGAGAAGAGGAATTCAGCGATACCTCATGCATAAAAAACCAATATGCTCATTACCCTTTGTGGTGTGCTGGAATATCGCGAAGACGTTAACGTCTTCACGGAATTTAGTGCTGCAAAAGTTTTGCATCTGGTTGCGCGTATACCAAAACAACGCAATATCGAAATAGAAAGAAAAAAAAACGCGCGTCCTATTTGTTTTCCACCATCACAATGGCTAGTCAATCGAGCTCAATATTTTCATTGGGCTCAATTAGCAAGCCATTGTCTTGACTTACCAGCGACGATTGGACAGGCATAGGAGGCTGGCTCACTTGAGAGTGTCACTAAGGTAATACACGGGGTGTGGTCGAAAGCACCTGTTTGCATTTTGTCATTACTTCGAGGAGTGCATGAACGTTTGCGATATCGTAAGGCTACAGTTAACTATACTACCTTTAGGGCAGGGATTATCAGACTGTTCGCCGGATGCAGCCATCCTCTTCACACAAAACGGCCGTGTGATGAACAACATGTGACACTACCATGGTGAGGCGGAGTCATTGACTTGATTAAACAAAACGGCTGACCGGAATATTGATCAAGATACGGCTCCGCTACGTAATAAGTTTGTTTGCAGCACGATACCGATAATTTATCATGCAGGCTGTGCAAGCTTCCAATAATAAACCTTGACTGCGTGTCAGTGTGCATACGGCTGCGCACACTCATTCCTGCATTCCCTATGTGAGTACTACGACGCATCATGGCAATACACGTTTCTCAAAACACTACACTATAAGGCTATTTAAACAAGTTAAACAAGCACGCATTTGGGGTTGTGTTGAAAGATTACGTTTTGTTATTTCTAAATAAAATCAATGATTTGTTAACGTAGCTTGCACAGCGATAAATTATGAAAGCGAGTTTTAAAGCATGTGGACTAGCACGTTTCTACTTGCACGTACAACATTATAAACTGCCAAAAATATTAATACTTACTTTATTATGTTGACTTTTTATTCGCCCACTTTTTACCTTTGTTTCAAGTCTTGATCAGCACTTTGTATGCATGTACGAACAGAAGGTCCCCTCCAGACAATTTTTTTTTTACTTTGGGACCTCCTTCTGGTCTATGTTTACATTTTACTAGCACAAATAAAAAAGGTATGAAAATGCCATAAAAGCTTACCAAGTTCGGCACGCCCTTGCCTTGCAGGAAGCGTTCCCTGATCTCGCGCACTTCCCGCTCTGACCCAGACACCCTGAATGTGAAAAGATGCGAGTAAGATGTACCTCACTTGTTCAGAGCATGCAGATGAAACGAGTGACAGAAAGGCCACAAGTTAGTTTATGACTGAAATGTGGGTTACAATTACTTTTAATAATAACCCCTACACTTTCCTTATAATGATTTTCTGTTAGATCTCACTAACATTGTGCCCAACATAAAAAAAAAACGAGCTAGCCCTTTAAATGTACACTTCTTTCCTTCACCGTCTCAATAGTATTATGCGTCTGTGTTACCCCTGCATGACAACATAACTACTCATTAGTATATTTTTTCACAGCAGTACTACACTGTATGAAACTCAACTAAATCATTGCAGTCCACTGTCGTGATAAAATACGTCTTGCGCTTTTCTTTGAAATTATTCACGTTTTCTCAGCTCTGCAGTGCTTGCCCACTCGCGTTTCGGCAGCATTGTTATGGCGTGATGCTACATTATCCTTGCTTTCCTTCAAAACTGTCTAAGGGCAAGTTGTGCAAAGTTCAACAGAAAATCCATGGAGGAATGTTTACGCATGTGCAATGGGCTTTACGCAAAGGAACCACAACGCTGACTGTCGGACAGCAAAGAGTGCTGATGGCGAAGGCCTCATACAATGTTGCGAATTTGTTGCGAATTGCAGCATAAGTATACGAGTGGCTTGGAACTTTGTATTGCGCTAGAGGCACTGCGGGCCGCAATAGTTTGCGAAATCTGCAGCGCTCGACCCATTGCGGAGGCCTCGTCCGATAGCCTCTACCAGAGTCCTTCAACGGTATTAAAGGACTCTGCCTCTACATAACATCATAGTGCAACGGTAGGGGACGCAGCAATGTAGTTTTTCGTCGCTCCGCGTGACTCTGTAAGTTCCGGAAACTTTTGAGATTGACTGTACGTGCCAGGACCCCTTCTTGGCATGAATCAAGCGCTGTGAGGCCTTTGGAATGTTAATATGACAGTCCACGCTGAGAATGTAGCATTTACCTTTAGGGCGAATGTAAGGTATATGGGGCAATACTGATCGTTATCATGCAGGCAGCAAGAATGTTTACCGACCGGTAGATGCCCACACAGCCTAGTCCTCTGCGTTCCACCTCCTGAATGCAGTGGACCACGAGTGCGGGCACCATGGGCGCCGTGGACGGTGCGTGGTCCGAGATGAGTGTGCCTCGGTGGCTGCCCACTCCGCTGCGCTTGGGAGTGTTCGGAATGCAGGGCAGCGGCACCTGATGCAAAACGATCGCTTTTAGGTAAACAGTGGCACTATAAGAGTTACTAAATAAAGCCTTCTTTATAAACACCAATTCTTGCTGAAGCCTCTCTTGATGAGCGCACTCGTTTCGTAAAATCTTTGACATCGACCAGTAAACTGGAAAAGTTGCCCTAGCGGCTATTGCATGCATCATCTATATGCCAAATAATAGCACTACCTTGTGGCTGCCGCAACATTTGCTCCAATTCTATTGTTCGAGAAACCTAAGGGGAATGAAGCCGCCTCCCTGCCTTTATTACTGCTACCCCAAAACCAACAGCACAAAAGCAAAATCCAAGGGGCTTTGTGAGGTAGAGGAGATATGAAGAACCTAGCACGACATAATGAGGAGAAACTAGATCATTTTCCTGACAGCACGAATAATTTGACGCGTACACAAGTGTAATGCAATATTGTTGTGGTCTTAAGCCCCAAAACCATGATACTATAAAGACGCCGAAGTGGAGAGCTTTGAAAATTTTGTCCACCTGTAGTTCAATATCATGTTTTTAAACCTAAGAATAGGGAAACAGTGCGAAAGACATGAACAGTAAAGCCACATACACAACCACACGTAGCGTTGCTTGTGGTCGCATGTGTGCTTTTACTGTACTGTTTCACAACGATATGTTTAACCAACTAGTCGGCTAGTTGACCCTTCATATCTAATCGTAGGGGCCTCTAAAAGAGCGCAATTGTAAATGCATATGCTGGCATTCTTTATTCCCCTCTCCCCGCTAAAAAGCGGAACACTGTGTAAAAATTCTCATGCTTAGCAGCGCAACACAGCAGCGATACTGCGACGGTGAGCAGTAATCTAAAACTTCATATCTAGCACAAAAGTATGTTCGTTGTACGAGGAAACTTGTTATAAATGTACATTTTTATTACCAATACTGTTAACATTGAAGACCACTAATGTGAGGTGATCTGCACATTGTTTTGCACAATTGTAAGTCAACTGGAAGTAGTTCTATTTCTATAAAATCACACGACAAAAAAGGATGCGCGAGTACGTAGTCTCTGGACTCGCTACACTTACACACCGACTTCGTCCCTATTCAAGAACTTCGACGTTCGCAACCTGCTAGCCTTGAAGTTTGTCCTAGGCGTGCCTGTTTCCGATACGAAGACTCGCGTTTCCTGCGTGACCATTCCACGACCATTTCACGTACAGGAGAGAGCACGTGCACGGCAGGATGAGTGATAGCTCCACATTTGGAAGCGGTGCCCATCCTGATCACGCACTTCTCTCGCCTGACGTCTTCAAAAGTAGCGTTGTGTTAATTCAAATCTGGAGGCATCACCAAGTAGCCGCGCCACGTCTTGTATAATGTCAAAACAAAGGATACGAATTCCGGGATGCAACGATGGCTTCCTGCCTTACTTCACAGCTGTGCAAGAAAGATAGTATTACGGCAATACGCAAGCATCATTTTCAAGAAAAAAAAAACGTTCCGCAAATCTTAGCTGAAGGGGCGGCTTATACGCGAGAATGTACGCCATATTTTGCAGGTATAGTCAGAACCCAAACATAAAGTAACCACATACGAGAGCGTTCCTGAGTTGCCGTTTGTCGCGCCGTTACTAGCAGTGTTAGTTTCGGCTTCGACTGAAAGTCGACCCCTCAACGTGCGTTTCAAACTCAGTCAAAAAAAATGTGTCCACCTTTACTGCGATCGCGAAGGCAACAACTGTGGTCGTAGTATAATAGCGGGGTTCTTGTGGCTGACGCTATTTCAGCCCAGCTTGTCAACGTAGAGTCTGAACTAAATCTGAAGATTGTTCCCTCTTCCCCGTCAGTGGTGAGGGCAGATAGAAAGGAACCTGCTAGGTGTGAGACAACTGGAAAGATGACGTGGTTATGCAATGCAAAACAATGCCCTTTCCCCTCTGCCGTGACCTATTCACAGCTAGTATGCGTGCCCGGATAGTTTTCTGTATATACCTTTTTGTATTACCTCCCTTTCACCCGTGCTCCGAGGCACCAGCATTAGGTCTGCACCCTTTGCTATGTGGAAAGGCACCACCAGCTTTATGCGTTAAAATCATATTTGCTGTCATTGACATGTGCAGCGTTCCCCTTCAGGAATAGAGAGTAGGTTCGTCACGGCGTCCCCCTTCCTCATGATGTCAATGTATGCGCTCCCCTTTTAGGTAACAGAAGGGGGATGGGGAATGGTATTGCGTCATCCACAAACAGGCAATTTCTAATTTATGACTCAAGCCAGGAAATGTGTTACAATCTCGTCACAGATGATGATGATGATGATGATGATGATGATGATGACGATGATGAAAGACATCTGTTGAGGAATGGGTGGAGTCCTTAGTCCGGGACCGGCTTGCACCCCGGTCCTTGCGCGGGCCACTAGGGCCTCTGTACCCCCCCCCCCCCCCTCAGTCCGGGCCGGACAGAACCGCCTCCGGCCTATGTATACTGAAATCCTTAAAAACATCCGTTTTAAATGTTTTTCTGACCGACTGACCTGGGTCTTGCACTCCCGGTGGCAGACGGCGTTGCAGCGGCTGCACTTGAAGACCGTCTTGTAGAACTTGATGCGCTTGCCACACGGACCACACGTCTCTGCCTTGATCGCCGTCTTGGGGCAGAAGGCGTGCTGTCGGGAGAGCAGCTTCTCGGCCGAGTTGCTCCGCCTCGGCATGGCGGCACTCGCTGCCGCATTCCCGCGTCTCTGGGCGACCGGTGTGCTCGGTGCAGATCCTTCGAAGGCAGACACGCAAGGGGGAACAAAAAAGAGGGATGAGCATTCATCCATTGACGAGTCCGTGCTTGCGCAACCATCCAGCGCAACACTGGAAACTATGAGCGAAAAGACACTCTTCATAAAACATCGACCTCTACACCTGAATCCATACCGAGTTTTCATTCATTTAACCCGCATAAAATGATACAGGTGACTCGGAGATGAAGTGTGTGTGAATGTTCTGCCCAGATTCCTATATGGTGGGAGGCTTCACAGCAATGCAAGAAAAACAGAGGAGACAGCGATAGCTGAAAGGTACTTGATTGGGGAGTGGCATGAGTTACTGAAATCAAGTGAAAATGTTTGCGCAATCTTTAAATATAGAGGGGTCGTTTCTATCAACGTGCATAACGAATATGCGTGATTCATATGTACTGTATCCCCCCCCCCCCCCCTATTCCCTCTGTGTTATTTTTTTCTGCGTATCCAAGCCAAATAAACAAATAAGCAGAGGTGGATGAATGGATGCATGGATGGATGGAGAGAAAGACCTTATTGATTGTCTGGAATAATAATGTCCCGGATTCGTTTGAAAAGCTTTTTTTTGCTAGTTTAGGTAGGTATATGACGAGCTAAACGAATGTATGAATAACGCCCCATAGAAGATACGCTACGAGCAGCCCTATGCCATAGACTAATAGGACACACGCTTTGCATATCTCTGTGTAAAAAAGACATCCAGAGTATCTTGACTAACTTATGAATGCGTGTCCTGCTGGTTGACAGCGATAAGTCTCCTTTGGACAACTTTATATTCAATTTTTTTACTGATCTATGAATACAGATTAAACCAAAGAATTGTGTATGTCCATTTGTGATCGTACAATCCCCAAAAGGCAGCTGCGTTTGACTGCTGAATATCCTAAATATCTCTTTACCAGTCAATTGAATCGAGCTATATAGTTGCCAACCAAATTACGATAGTGTGAGGGACGCTGCATTAGATCGCTCAAGGTCAGTTTCCTTGCCATCAAAGCTCAGATTAGAATCACACATACAAAGCAGCATGCCTTGTCAGAAAGGCCCAGATGAAGAGTTCCATGGGAGAAATTTTATATGTTGGGTTTTACGGTGCAAAAAGCAGCAATGGCTATGATGCACCAGGTGCCGGGACAGAATTTTTCTTCATGAACGGAGGATACAACTGACATAACCTTAAATTCAACAAAGTGAAGAAAATTGCAAAATTAAGGGTTTCCAGTGTGAAACCATAGTTCTTTTTTATATGTGCCACGGTTTTGCTAAGCAAACAGTTTTGCAATTTACTTGCATTATGCACACATGTAGTGGTGAACATATACGTGGTGGTGCACACGTAAGTAGGCACACTTCGTCTAAATGTTGATAACACAGCACAGACATACCCCAAATGAAAAAAAAAAATATACTGTCACTTGTACTTTTGTGCGTTTCCTTAGGAGCGTGTTTAACCATCTGAAATGGTTCCACATGTTATCGTTTCACGCAACCCCCACACGATTTAACGGAATGTTCTTGAGCGCATCAGAACGTTCCGAAAATGCACGCACAACGAGTACAGTTAAATAGAGTCTGGAGCAGACGCAATCACCAGTGACGATGCTGAACATGTGACTGCTTTTGTACAAAAGCAGACGTCTTCTATTAGAGATCTCTTGATAAAAATTATAAAATGTGATTGCTGCTACTGTGCTTAGGGTTCGCTTGGTGATGGTTTGCCCAATAAAAAGTTTAATCTTTTTGCCTGCTGCGTTGTTCCTCTTCTCAACAATGCGACAACACACCGGAAGCAGAAGCACATCAGTGCCAGTGCAGTGACATGTCAATGGTAAACTAAACGTTACGTAGAAGTATAATAATGGCTGAAAAACAAATCAAGCCAGATCTATTGAGGTACAACCAGAGTGGTCGCCCGTAAGCGTGAAAGTACAGCGAAGTGCATTTTGACAAAAAAAAAACACGTTTGCTACATCTTGCATTACCGATTCCAAAAGGACTTGAATAACTGAACAAGCTGAAGTTAATTTTATCTGGGGTTGAACGTCCCAAAACGCAGATATGATTATGAGGAACGCCGCAGTGGAGAGCTCCAGAAACGTCGACCATCTGGAGTTCTTGAACGTGTGCTGACATCACACGGTAAACGAGCTTCTACCATTTCTCTGAATTAATTTTGCGTTGTTAATTTTAATTAAGAGATATGTACTGTCAGGATCGGCGCTTGAGCCTAGCAGAAAAGGGAGTTTGCAGTTCTGCGAACAAGCTGCCGAAAGGATGCGGGCCTGTTGACAGCCGTCCAAGTATGGGTATTGTCCTCCCAGTTTGTAAGCAAGGCGCATGCAGTCGTGACGCCACAAAGTGTATAACGAGATGGCCGAAATCGTTTCGGTAGCGACAGCCTCCTCGAAGAAATGGCGGACCCCACAAAATTAGCGTGGCGAGCGGGGGTCCTTTGACGTCCCTGATAGCACGAGCATGGAACCCAGCACCCAGGGGCATTCTCACCCCAAGGAGGAGAGAGCTTGGTGCCGGAAGGGGAGTGTGGGCGGCACCGTCGAAAGTGATTTCACTGATGTGTGTCCGGTGGTGGGACAGAGAAGTTTAAAGCCATTCCCCCATCTAAGGGTGAGGGGAAAAAGACTCTTGATAACCGGCCGCAGTGGGCTCCTACGAGAGCCTTCGACGAGATCATTACGATGTAGGACGGCATCTTCATCAAGATGTTGGTCTTGTGGCGAGAAATGCTCGCTTGTAAATAATGTAGAATAAACCTCTGTACAGTGTTATTGATCAGTGCCTTCATGCTCTGCGTCTTCCTCCCGAGTCCCCGGTGCCGGTAACAATGAGCTTCTCCGCCATCAAGGTATGGAACACTCTGCCTTCAGATACTAACACATCTCCCTCATTAAATGCCTTTAAACATTCAGTTCGCCTTTACCTGAATCAGTCTTTAAACTTTTGACTTAAGCGTAGTTACTGTCCTTGCCCCCCTCATTTTTTTGTCATAAACTCTCATGTCTTCTTTACCCATTTCTATTACTTTCTTTTTGTTCTGAAATATTTATTAGTGTATATTTCTGACGATTGCTCCGCTTGCACACTATTAGCCTCACTTTTTTAATTCCCTTTTCTGTGTACTTCAATGTCAAATATTTTCTATGTTATTGTATACCATAATGTTTCTTTTATTGTTTTGTACGTATATTCACGCTTATTTTACGCGATCCTGCTCTCTTTTTTATTCTTTCTTTGTGTGTTTTATAACAAGAGGTCCCATTGCAGTGTTTACACCAACGGACCTCTTTCTGTATAACTCTCCCAATTTGTAAACCCCCCTTCCCCAAATACGCTCAATAAACTGAAACTGAAACGGCAAAGTTTCAACCCCTCAACAACAGATAGCAGAGGGTGGGATCCTGGTCAACTCCTGGTTCCAACAACTGGTGCCAGCGGTGTGATGCTGTCAAATCCCGCGTTTCAACAGTACCAACTATAGGCCCAAATGAAGTTTCATTCAAGTTCTACACCATTTCGCCTGCATCTAAATGCCTCTGACACGGCCAGGATCGAACCCGCAACCTTCGGTTCAGTTGACGAGCACCGTAACGACCGATCCATCGCGGCAGTCAACAAGCTTGAACTAAAATGTGTATGTCACGTGACCGTCAAAAAGAGCGCACGCAAAGTGTTACCGACCACTGGAGTACTTTGGCGTCATCCTGGGTGTCGAAGACGCTGGTGTTGGCGGTAGCGGTGGTGGGGCCGGCACGTTGGGCGCAAAGGGTGTCGGTGGCCGGGCGACTGCCTGTGCAGTCGCTTCCAGGTCCTGGTCATCCGTGATGGTTGCGGTTGTGTGCAGCCCATTCGCACGAGTCTGATCACCCTCATCGTTTGTCTGGAACGCAAGAACCAGTTCCTACCAAATCAAATGCACTTTAGCGACTCGCTCGGCAAACAAATTTATAATCAAGTATAGAAGGTACTGCAGTGAACAAGTAAGCTCTAGTGGCAGAGAGAACTCACCGCAAGTGCAAAATATAAGGAGAGGCACGTGGCACGAGTGCGCCTGGTTATTCGTTCTGCTGCTCACGGCTGCCTTCCCTTTCGAACTCTACAGCACTCTCAAACAGACATGAACACAAAGAAAGGAAGTCATAGCAGTCTACAGCGGTAAAAATTGGCAGAACTCACGTACCATGGGAATCGATATGCGAAGCATGCACGAATGAGGAAGGTTAATATGTCACTTCAAAATGAGCACAACGTTACGAGGTGGGCGTAAACTGTGCCGTACATGACTTCCATGCTATGGTTTTCATGTTTGGACGTGCCATTTACTTTCGTCATCTATTCACGACACCTGGTACCAGATTTGGTATATGTGGAGCTAGCGAAACGGCCGCGAGCATGCTATGAGTGTAGCGCATATACGCACGTTTCACATGACATGCATATCAAGATTACCATGTTTCGACGTGTCATTTACCTTCGTCGTCCAGTCACGTCACGTGATACCAAATTTCATATATGTGGAGCGAGCGAAGCGGCCGCGCGCACGCTATGAGCGTGCTTTGTGGTCATGTTTTACATGACACGCGTATCCTTATTATGTTTCGACGTGGCATTTACCTCCGTCCTCTATTGACGTCACCGGATACCAAATTTGGTAAATGTGAAGCTAGCGAAACGGCTGCGAGCGTATCATGAGCGTGTATGTCGTCATGTTGTTACATGACACGCATCTCATGATTATCATATTTGCACCAGCCATGTACCTTCGTCATCCATACATGTCCCGTAATACCTAATCTGGTATACGTGAAGATAGCGAAACAACCGCGAGCGCACCATGAACGTGGCGTGTAGTCATGACCAGTCATAACATGAAAGTCATAACATGCGCATGTCATGATTTCCACGTTAGGGTCTGCCACTTATGTTTGCTATGCAGTCATGTCATCTCATACCAGTTTGGAAAATGTCATGTGAACGAAACCGCAAGAGCAGCACGAACATGAAATGTAAATCAAGAAATTCATGACATACGTGTCATTATTTTCATGTTATGACTAGTCATTTATGCTCGCCACACCATCATGTTATGCCTTACCAATTTTGGTATCCATACCATTATCGAGACGGCCAGGAGAGCTAAAAGCCTTAGGTGGCTATATACATACATACATATATACATACATACATATATATATATACATACATACATATATATATATATACTATATATATACATACATACATATATATATATACATACATACATACATATATATATACATACATACATACATATATATATACATACATACATACATATATACATACATACATACATATATACATACATACATACATATATACATACATACATACATATATACATACATACATACATATATACATACATACATACATATATACATACATACATATATATATATATATATATATATATATATATATATATATATATATATGGGAAACAAGTGTATACTTAAGGGCTCGTTTTTCGTGTTTTACACAATATTAATGAGATCTAACAGACAATAATGTCAAGGAAGGTATAGGGGAAGTTATTAGGCCAATTGTAATGTAAATGAGAAGAAAGAAAAGTGGGTGAAAAGATAACTTGCCGTGGGAAGGATCCGAACCTGCGACCTTCGAATAACGCGTTCGATGCTCTACCACTGTGCTACCATGACAGTTATCCCCCCAGCCACTTTATTGGGTATCTATGTCAATTTAAACGTGGGAGTGTCAGTCAGCGCCACTAGTAGCCATAGCGGCGAGTGTGGCACACTATGAGCCTGTTTCGCATCACGTAGCACCTGAACTTATTACTAACTAGCAGCTGACCAATAGTCCCCCGTATACAACCTAAAGGCACCAAGTCTGCCAGTACAAGAGCCTCGTTAATGAATAAGAGAAACAAGTGTATACTTAAGGGCTCTTTTTTCGGGTTTTACACAATATTAATGAGATCTAACAGACAATAATGTCAAGGAAGGTATAAGGGAAGTTATTAGGCCAATTGTAATGTAAATGAGAAGAAAGAAAAGTGGGTGAAAAGATAGCTTGCCGTGGGCAGGATCCATTCATATATATATATATATATATATATATATATATATATATATATATATATATATATATATATATATATATATATATATATATATATATATATATATATATATATATATATATATAATGAACGAACCAAGCTGATGATGCTACGATGATAATGTACAGATGAGGATGGGTGTACTGAATGCCCACACTAATTCCCCCCCCCCCCCCTCCCCGTGAAAGCGGCCAGCCTGGCCGCGGCAAGTCAAGGGGACAAAGAACGTCGCATGAAGGGCTTTATATACGGGAGACGTGGACCATTTCAGTAGTTCGATAATGGCGATCTGCTGGGCTACAAGAGGCGTCACGCGGTAATTCACTGGTGAAGTCTCTTCAAGAATTGTGTAAGGCCCGATAAACCATGGCTGAAATTAGTCGCACAAACCAGGTGGGCGAATAGGCGTCAAGAGGAGCACTTCGTCTCCAGGTTGGAAGGATACATCACGATGCGATTCATCATAAACTAGCTTTCTGTCTTGCTGTCAAGCTTCATTATTTATACGAGCACGTTGGAGACACTGCAAAAGTCGTAAAACGCGTTTCTCTGAAGAGGATGGAGGTGAATTCGCGTGGCAGGTAAAGAAAGAGACATCAGGGAAGGAAGTATAGGGGAATCTTAATTTTTTTTTATTGAGTGCTCGGTAATCGACGCAAAATCATACTGAACCGTCTTTTTTGCGCACCAGAACGATGGGAGACGACCAAGGACTGGTTGAGGGTCGGATTATCTCCCGTTGCAGCATATCGTCTACCTTTTCCTCAATGATTTTTCGTTCAGCTAGAGAGACGCGGTGTATACGGAAGGCGGTGCACAATGGATGTTCCGTAACTCTGAATACGATGTGCTGTAGTGGTAGTCCGGCCCAGGGTGGATGAATAAACGTCGAAAGAGTTTGCACGCTTTTCCAACAAATCAAGCAGCTGCTGCTTCTGTGAGTCTGTCAAGTCTTTGTTGATGGTTGTTGTAAAGGCCGAGGAAGCAGCATGATCAGCCGGATGGCCTTTAGAGGAGACAGGGGTAAGAGGCACGACGCACACAGGCTCCAGATCGGCAACGCAGGCGACAGTAGTGCCCCGCGGCAGCAAAATTTTATCTGGTGTGCTGTTCGTAGCAGCGAGGACAGCTGATCCATTGTTCAAGCGAGCCACACCTGATGCGAGAGATATGCCTTTATTAAGGCAACGGGGCGACGGAGTGACCTAAATGTCACCAGAGTCGACGTCGTTGGACAAAACTGTGACTAATTGATGTTCGTTCGGAGGTAACTCGATGTCTACAGCAGCGATGAGTCGAAGTGGCCTGTAGGTTTCGTCACTAAGCAAGTGGTCTGTGTCAGTAAGATGGACGACACGTTGTGCACAACAAATAGCCGCGGAAGCAGAGGAAAGAAAGTGCCAGCCTAAAATGAGTTCGTGGGAGCACGGGAATAGCACAGCGAATTGTATATGGTGAAGAATGTCGTCGATTAGCACATGGGCCGTACAGAGGGCGGAAGGGCGAATCTTTGTTCCTTGGGCTGTAACCAATGTTGGTCCATAATAAGGCGTCGTGATTTTTCGAAGACGGGCACACAAATCAGCACGAAAAATAAAAAATGACAACATATCCACGGAGTGAATTATGGAGAGTGGGGCGAAGCATTCGTCCGTCCATGCGTCCGTCTGTGTGACCGTTCATGCGTCTGTTCGTGCGCCCGTCCCTGCGTTCGTTCATGCATCCGCCCCTGCGTCCGTTCATGCGTCTATCCATGCATCTGTGTGTGTCCGTTCGTCCATCTATTCAACACTCCAAGTCCCACCATCTCGCATCTTTTTGTCATATATTCCCCATATAGAAGCACCGCCATTCAGTGGACATTCCAAGGACTAAACGGGAGGTGGCACACGCACACTTTCTTACGGCTTGCGCTTCGGGTCTACTTCCCACCTTCAACCACCTTGAGTTCATGGTATATACTAGTTCACTGTATTCATGGCACTGCGGCCCAGTGCTCGCTAAGCCTTTCTAAAACCAAGGAGGTTACGCCCAGCGAGTATAACGTAGCAACCTTTTCCTGTCACATAGTGCTCAATGTACATGCCAGTGGCTGCTAATGTGAAATGAGAGACAGGAGGATTCAGCTTTTCATTTCTTACGGCTTGCGCTTCGTATCTGCTTCCCCCCTTTAACCACCTCGAATTCATTCATGGTATATACTAGTTCATTGTATTCATGGCCCTGCGGCTCGACGCTCGCTAAACCTTTCTAAAACTAAGGAGGTTACACTCAGCGAGTATAACGTAGCAACCCTTTCTTGTCAGATAGCGCTCGATGTACATGCCAATGGCTGCTAATGGTGATCGCAGCCTGCGCGTTAACTAAAAGCCGAATGCTCCTGTCTCTCATTCCCCATTAGCAGCCATTGGCATGTACATTGAGCACAATTTTTTATTGTTAAACAACGCACACAAGAAATCTCTCACCGGCACCACCTTGGAGGTCAAATGTTATACCTATATCGGGTATGTGCCATTGATGGTTACGTACTACGAGGGACGCCCAAGCCACGCCATAAGGAGCTTCGCCCCTAAAAAAACGCAGTCCCAGTGTCCAACAAAGCATCAACGTCCACTCCCTCAACTGTGACTGAAATCGTATAGTAAGGGCGCGCTGGGGGAATTTGAGTCCTGTGTCGGAACGAAGTTTGTCCTCCAAAAACTGCATCGCTTAACACTGTCGAAATTTGGGCTTCTGTCGTCACAATGCATCGCTTAGTTTTCCGGACGATCAGAAAGCGAGGGAAGCAGGCTGAAGAGGAGAAGAGGAGCGACGGTAGGGCGATGGTGAACGGCGTCTGGTTGATCGAAGACTACTTTGCAGTTCACCGGATGCTGGCGGAGATGGAGACCGACGCGGCGGTGACGAATAACGACGGCCCTGGTACAAGGCTCCTGCGGTATAGTCTCGTTCGCGTATGTCATACCCTCGGCGCTCGTCTTGCTGGCGCTTGCGGCAAAAACGTGAAATGTGACCACGATAGCCGCAATAATAGCACTTATGGCGAGTCGATCGATAAGGGGGGTAGTAGCTTGCGTTAACTGCACCGGGAGAGAGAGCAGTGAGAGGGACAGATGACGGCTCAGGTGGTGGTGAGAGAAAGCTCGTGGGAAAGCTTGTGGGAGGTGCGGCAGCAACCGACGCGTACGTTCATGCGGGGACGTCGAGCTGACGGTGCCTGGTGGCACGGCGGCGGTGTGCGGGAACGATGGGAGAGTACGAGTGACAGTAAGCTTGCAGGTGGGCCATGTGGGTCATGGACGTGAGCTCCTCCCTGATGACATCCCGCAATGACGTTCATTTCATTGGGCAGCCTTCCGACGTCAGAGGGCGAGGTAAACACGTTAAGGTGAGCCCGCGAAAATCAAGTTGAGGTTAAGCATCAATTTCATTGTATTTTGATATCTCTACGCTAAATAACTTTGCACTGCGTGGCCCTACCGCTACCGTTCTTGCGGCACTTATCTCTTAAGCCGTCAGTGTACGCAACCAGCTAGAAAAACATGTAAACTATGTAGTCATGGAAAGTGTTAGAGGGCCCCTTTAAACCAACCACTCGTTCAGCAGTGCAAGCGTCTTGACGCCTGGTGCGATTTCATGCTTCTGCCACGTGATAATCCACAAAGAAGACTTCTTCCGAAACGTTTTCAAGCATTAGCACGGCTGTGTCACAGCTTGTCACGGAAGTCCTGGGTTCCACTCTCACTCGAACTATACATTTACGTCACTCACGTTTATTTTTTTTTTCAAATTTTCGCTCACAGCTCATGACACCGAAGCCTGGATTCCCCCGAAGCAAACAATTCAACAGTGCCTCATTGAAAAAAAGTTTCGTCTTTAAGTGAGCACGCTGCGTTCCAAAGGGAGAAATAAACGAAGGAATAAACAAAGCGTAAAGGCCAACCTTGGATCTTTTTCCAAAAGGTGACAGGTCGTCGAAGAAATCGTGCCGACGCTTGACCTGGAAGCCTGGCGTGCCGAAGCAGCTGGCGGAGTCTTCGCTCGCATACAGGTCATCTTCGGAAGGGGAGATCACCGAGCCGACGGAATCGATGATGCTCATCCTGGAAATAATAAAAAAATAGACCCCTTTTAAGGAAGGGTGGTACAGCCGGAACAGGAAAGGATGTTAACCAGTCTGGAAGAACTGGTGTGCTAGCCCACGCTGAAGAAAGGGCATGATGGGCTTTAAAGACGGTGAAAGAGAGGAGAGACCATGCACACTGAAAGTTACACTTCACAGTCATCATATAACTAAGTATATAATCGCCGGTGCAAGGCTGTTGCCTTCTAGAAGTTGAGCACTGCCTTGGCCACCTTAAGCCGCGATGACCTCTGAGGTTGGCAATCCAGAATGGCTCCTGCCGTCATTGGTCTCTGATCTATGCGAGCTAGAGCGGCCGCTAGACATATATTCTGCGCATTGTGGGGAAGTCAGTGGCAGAATATGTGCCGTTATGTCTCCTCGCCACCTTATAGTTGTCGCAAAAAGGGTTTTCAGCCGTTTTGATTTGAAAGGAGAAGTATGCAAGTGTGGTGAACTGCTTTATTCAACAATCTCAAGTCAAGAAAGTACTTTAGTGAAACAATTCCACCAACATAGGTTTTTTTAATAGCTCGGGAAATCAAGCTCAAAGCTTCATTTCGAATTCTGTGCCAAAGTTTTTATGCACATCATGACTCAAAGTGTCCGTTTGTATTTTTGGCGACATTGATTGAATAAAACCTTCTGTAACTTAGTACGTAACGCTTCGGTTTACTTAGAGTACAATGTCCATTCTTTATGAATTAGTAGCTAGATGCTGTCAGAATCTATGACGTCATAGCGTTTGTAGCGGGAATTTCAAAGTTGTGTCGTGCGTTGAGTCTTCTCGTGCTAAGAGCGGCGTTTGCGGTATCGTAAAATTGCAATTTACTTCTTCGCGAGAAAAAAACATCGCATTTTAGTGCTCTCACTGACAAAAATTTTCCACCTTTATTATTTTTTTGTTGTTGAAGAAAGTAGCTCATCACATGCTTATCATGGCTGAGAACCTCGTGTGTGGAAGTGCGTGACGGTAATTTATGTAGAAATGTAGAAACGTCTTTAGAGCGCCCAAACTCAGTTTCGGTTTCGAAGAGCACCAAGCTATAGCCAAGAGCAGTTCCGGGGTAAAGGTAAACACAGCTGGTCACGTCACAGCACAGCCAGCACATGCGACGCCACATGCAAGGAGGAGAAAATCAAATGTACACACCGCAAGCGCAAGGCGCGAGCCAGCAGCCAGGCAACACAAACTCGTGACGTAGGTTTTTATACATTGGTCCTGCCTCGATGTCGACCTCGTGAGGCGCTCCGCATCTCGCTCAGTCACGTGATGTGCACTTCAAAATGATTTTAAATATGTTATAGGCTATATTTGCCCTTGATATCTCGTAGATGATGTGTATGTTTCCACCTAAATCTATCTCACTTAATATCACGCCTTCGAAAAAAAAATTTTCTTAGGTGCTCTCTTAAGACCTTAATAACAAGCTGAAAGGCGGAGCTCCGCCTATACCAGATTAATTTTAATGCATTTGTATTTGTATCCTGCTGCTAGCTCTGAAATGAGCCGCTGCATCCAACCCCGAAAACGACAGGCTCGAAGTATTCCTCGTCTGACCTGACAGTGTGAACTTGAGATCCGTCGTCGGCAGGCATGATAATTGAGAGTTTCTGAGCAGTCTCTTCACAAATCTCGTTGTTGGCAAGGAGGTCTCGCACCTGCTCGAACTGGCTTTGCTGAAGAAGAACGAGCGAAATGAATAATAACGTGTAGTCAGCAACTTGGCAGTGTAAACGTAAACGTTAAAGGAGCTCTGCAACACTTTTTTATTGCGATAACAATTATATGGACACTTTCGGGTGGATTTTGCCGCTGGCGTCGGTGTCGACGTCGGCGTCAGCGTCACCGTCACTTACCGTATCTGTTACGTATCTACGCATATGGAAACGCAAGAAAGAAAAATAATTTAGAAAAAGACGCGCGGAATCGAGCGTGGGACCTCTTAATTGTGAGGGCGAGGCGTTAGCCACTGAGCCGCGAGGGAGCACTCCAATTTTCGAACGGCAAGCTATTTATATATACCAATTAGCGCTTGTGACTGGCATCTCGGGGGGGAACTATCGTGTTTTCAGCATTACCAGCAAGATGGCGCAATGAGCGCGTGCGTCGCCACATCGTCACGACGCGGTGGCACGAGCTCTCATCTCTCACGCGTTCTTTGCCCCGCTGAAAGGGTACGCTCTCGCGTGCACTCGCCTATATCGCGGTGGGGGCAATCGTACGCCTTGTGCTTTCACCGGAACGATTCTGTTGTTACCGGGCACAAAAAGGTCGCTGCAATCGTTGCACAGTCACCGTTTGCGAAAAAGGGGCGCTTTTCAGACACCGCGAAGTAACAACTTAGACGCTTATTCAAGTTCATCTGTACCTGTGAGTACGTTTCGTGCGTAATTTGTGCGCAAGAAGCACGGGGCCCGTTTCCATCTGCTTGCCATTCTGCGCGTGACCTAATTTGTTGCTATCACATTCATTGCTTTGCCTTTGCGGCAAAGCTGCGACTTTTTTTTTTAGTGACATTGGTCCCAACTACTCCACTATGAAGGTGGTTGTTAGGGTGTCGAATGCAGCCTGTGCAAAAGCGCGGGTAGTTAACGAGGTGGATCACGGTTGAAAAATACATAATAGATCAGTGAAAGCAACCAATCTACCGTTATTCAACCGTATACCGTGTGCAAGTGTCTAGTGTGGCATTTTAAATTATATTTGTCACTCTTTCCCATCTATAAGAACCAGATGCATATAGGCTATTATACTGCGGCAAGTACGCACTGATCTTTTTTCTTTATTCAGAACCTCAGTCGTTAGGAGCGCAGCAGTCATTTCTTATATTGTATCACGAGGCCCTTCCCAGCATGTACAATAGCTTCTTCGTTCATAGTCGTATTTTGAAGGATTGCCACGAAGTATAAACCAAATAGTCCTTCTTGGGATACTTCAACGCAAAAATTTTGGTCTTTATGTCTGTGTCTGTCAGCTAAAGCCTGTCCAATAATTTAGCTCAAAAAAGATTAGTTGGTTTAGCCACCCGGCGAAAGTTTAAATCCTTGCTCAACGCCCACCCATCCTGATCTGGTGGCTGCAATTATACTTGTGAACATTGTCAATCAAAAAGCAAACATTACTCATATATGACTGGAACAAGCTTGATTGAAGTATACTTGTTGCTTGTGAGTCAGCTGAAGTTTTTCAGAAACATTTAGAACACATTATTACATTGCACTGCCTAGTTTGCTTTCCCAGCCTGTTCATGGGGGCTAACAGTATGGTAAATAAGTAAATAAATAATAAATATGAGGCACAACAGGAATCACTAAGTGTTAGGCAGTGTCTTTTCGTTACCATAAAAGTATATGGACAGTCCCGGTTGGTTTTTGCCGTCGCCACCTTGCGAGCGAAAAAAAAGGGGGGCGGGGGGGCTTATAGTTGCCGCGTTATCGCGGGGGGGGGGGGGGGGGGGACGGTGATAAAAGTGTACTTGGAGCGGCCATCCATATATAGATGTGCTCTAGACATAAACTGCCTCTAGCGGCTACACACGACGTATAGCCTTTAGTACCAGCCTGCGCTGCCCATGGGAAGCGCTTCTCATCAACGCTGTCACTACGCACGAGACTTGTGATCTACTGTGGCCTCGCCGCAGGGGACTTTGTTACTTAGCAAGCTCATGTTTACTACAATTAATATTTCTCCTAAAAATGCTAGCCTTGCTTCGCAAAACATTCGATTATGTTGCTACTACATTCATTGCTTCGCCGTTTTGGCTAAACTGACTTTTTTCAAGTAATTGAAAGATCAACTCACTACTGGAATTTAAGCAGCCACTCTTCTGCTGCAGGAAAACTTTGGAATCCGTCAAGCACGAACTGTGTTAATAGAGGTTTTTATTCTGCCCGGTAATCCGGTAGCGCAAAGGCGTGACGTATTAACGGATAGCATGTCCCGTAGCTGCCACTACTTCAAGTGACGCAATCTATGGAAGAAAGAAGATGAGTAACAAGCACGACAACCTTCGAGATTTTGGGAGCGGCACTCACTAAGCCTACTTCATTGACAAATTGAACAATTCTCTCGAAAACAGCGCTCATGATCGTTCAATGGAACCATATTCGATAATCACTTAGAAAGGTGTTGCAGGACACTGTAAAAAAATGCACCCTTTACAATGCATGTATGCGTGTATGAGTCACAACAATGTTCTTTATATGGTTTTGCTTGGGTTACCTTTCTCAAAAACTGTGCGCTCGTTACTTTTCATGCGAGAACGTTTTGTCACACCGACAACGGGGCAATGTTTTTTATCTGGAAGTACCGTGAATACAATTTTAATCAAACAAAAAGCATGCAATACACAAACCGATAATGCTGTGGTACACAAACAAGTGCACATGTTTTTTTTTTTTGTTTTTTTAAAGAATGTTTTACCTTCTGCCGAATCTCTTCTTCACATCTTTCTCTGCGCAGCAATTCTTTGCACAGGACCTCCCTGCAGCAAAAGGAGAGTTGTGTCGTTACAAAGGTATTACCAGTCATGACCACTACTTTATTATAGTGTTCGCAAAATGCTACTAAATGAGCCTACATTTCACTGTTTCCGTATTTTTCTTTTTCATACATTGGCTTACAGTAATACTCGTTAATTCTCATTTCAGAGGAGCGAAAAAAAAATGGTAAGAATGAACCGAATGTGGGAGTATCGAAAGTACAAAAAAAAACTAGTAGGTACATCAATGAATTCGCATGTTCCTGAATAATACGAACATGCAGCACTTATTTTCAGCAAAACCAGTGAAAGAGACGCAAGTTTGTGTCATTTGAGACTTCATGTGACCGCGGCGCAAGCCCTCAGTACCTTCCGTCAAAATAGGCTGCGAGCGTATCCGTGTTACGTATCGCCACTACCCCCACGAACATTGACAGTTCATTGGACGCCAACTGTGCCATGTTTGCGTCGAAGGAATTGTCACGTGATCGTGGGAACTCCGTGAAGGATTTCTCAAAGTTTTTTAGTTGTCGAGAAATTCGTCCTGGCCCAGGATTCGAACCCGGGACCAACGCTATCCATAGCGGTCGCTCTACCAATTGAGCGAAGGTAAATTTATCGACCACTTAAACCACGAATGGACACAAGTAAACAAACGAGTTCCACGGAATCGTGCAAGTTGGCGGAAGAGAAAATGCATTGCGACTTCATGCTACAGAGAAGTGTGACAGCTTGGGCTAGTTGGTATGACATGACGATAGTCATGCCATATGAACTAGCCCAAGACAATGACCTTTGTGTCGTGCCGTCAGATAAGCAGGATGGTTTTGCCGTTCTTCCTAATCACGTGTACCTGGAAAAGGCTGTCACAGCTATCGACTCTATCCAGATAAATGTTGGTACAACATTTGAAAACAGTAAAAACGCAGGCCAAGGAAATGTGTCGTAAACTAGAGTTGAAACAGCACATATTGTTACGGGGAATAAAGTATACACTGGTGAGCAAATTCGTACTGGCGAATGTACTGGCGAGCTAATGCGTACGACGCTGCTGCAGTCCGAGCACGTTCCCGTTCAGCACTTCGTCATCGTCATCCTCAGGCATCTACTTAGCCCGTGACAATATTAGCAAAAGTGACAAAAATGGGCTCAGCATGTTTTTTTTTTCAGCCAAAACACATAAGGTTGACATGCCCTTCCGTGTCATTGCGACAGAAAGTGGTACGTGGCAAAAGCAACTCGGCTTGTTTATTCAGACCCATCTAAAGTGTCTGAAGATTGATGACCCTTTTTTGATCAAAAACTCGCAGGCTCTGATAGAATTTTTCAAACAGTCAAATCAATCTAATCTTTTCGGTTTTTCAATTGACATAAAGGACCTATACTGCTCTCTGCCTCACGATGAGGTATTAGAATGTATAAGGGATAACATAGAAATCTTCGGGGAATTGAACTTCCAGTTAAAAACTGGCATCAGTGCGCGAGATTTTCTTGACCTGGTTTTGCTGTACCTTACCTCTACTTTCGTTCAATGAAATGATTGCATTTATCTGCAGAAAAAGGGTGTTTCAATCGGCTCATCATAGCACCTCTACTCAGTGATCTTCTATTGGCAAAAATGGGCAAAAAGCTACAGAAAAACTTAGAAGGCTCGCATGTCGTTAAAGTATTCAGATACGTGGATGATTTCTTGGTCCTTCTAAATTGTAATTCTTCTATGTTCCACTCGATTGCGACTCAAACGATAGGTGTGTTCGAAGATTGTTTAAAGCCTCTTGTGTTGACACATGAAATGCCCGAGAATGACAAGTTACGTTTTTTGGATTTAAGACTAATTTTTGGCTCACAACACATCTGTTCGAGTTATGAACCACGTGCACAGAAACCTCTGCTTCCTTTTTCGTCCGCTCACAGCAAGTTAGTTAAGCGAGGCATAGCACGAACCTGTCTTGAGAATTCCTTACTTAAATAGGTCGTGCGCCCACACTATTTCTGCAAGCTTCAAAGCTCAAGTTTCCTGGCTTAAGGCTTCAGGTTTCCCCGGGGCGTTTATCGCGTCTGTTGCTGAGACGATCCTGCGGACTGAGGCAGAGCAGAGGCAGCGACCGAAACCGAGCAACACGGACACAGAGCGTGAAAGGATAGCTGTCATTCCATACAAACACCATATATCACACGGGCTCAAGAAAATCGGAAAACGAGTTGGAGTTCGTGTCCTGTTCTCGGCACCGTTCAAATTAATCAGCCTCACCAAATCTACAAACCCTCAGAAAACGCAGTCATGAACAGAATGCAGAGTGCAACATAGAAACAGGTATGCGGCATGCTCCCGGGAAGTGGTCTATAGGACCCCCCTTTCATGCGGTGCTTGTTATGTCGGAACGACCGGAAGGTGTCTAAATGATCAGCTGAGAGAACACGCTAACAATGTTAGAAACGGGGAAGATAGTTTTCTTGCCCAGCACGTGCAATTGTGTGCCCGTTTTCAAGGACACAGCGACGCTGTACAAACACAAAGATGAGCGCACCCGAGTTATCGTCGAGGCCGCGCAAATGGCACGCGAACAAGTGTCATGCATTAGCAAGCCCTCCGTGTCTCTGCCCAAGAAGGAACTAAGCTTCCTCGACGGTTTCAGTGCCCGCAAGTAGTTATATTATCTTTACTTTTCTGTTTCGTTTCCCTATAGAATTTTCTTTGCCTTTTTCTGTGCTATTTCTTAGTTTTTGTTATTGTTTTTCTCTTACTCATGTTCTGCTCTTTGTATTATATGGTTTTTGCCACTTGGTCACCGTCTTTTCGATATATTTTCGCGCTTTGCGCAATAAACTCAGTTGGAAGTTAGCGCTCGTGTCTTCGTGTCCTTGTCTCTGTGTCGTCGTTTTGTTCTCGCGCTATAACTATCTTCATGCTAGAAACGGGTGGTTGTCTACTTCCCCTTTCTTAACCCTCCGGCCACCTAGCGGGATTCCGTAGAGCTCATTTTCATTCTACGTTCTAAGTAGTGGACTGGTGCTCCAAATTTTTTCTTCAGCTTATTATATTTGATATTGAAGTTTCGTGCCAGTAACGAGCTACTTTGTGCGCAAGACTCATATGATCTGCAGTACCATACATGGATGTCAGCATGGGGGTACAGAAGGGCCACTTGCCTTCCCTCAAGACACACCGTCAGTTCCCCTTACCTTGCTACACCGATTTTCTCCCACTCCCCCACCCAGACCGAATCCAGCTGACGCCCATGGTCGTATAGGTTACGCAGCACTGTTTCGCAGCAGTAACTGGCGAGAAAAAAAAAATGCTTACTCTGTATGGGCGAGCTTTCGTTGAAGTTCCACGTTGGTTTGCGTCAACGATGCAACCTGCTTCTTCAGCTCGGCGTTTTCGAGGACGGCAGCATGCCACTGCTTGCGGCACGCTTCCTGGTTGCGCACGAATTCCAAAATCAGCTCTGAAAGGTTCAGATCGAAATGGGTCACAGTAAAGAAAGTCACTGAAATCGGGCCTCGAGCACTTCTCAAACATGTACCCTTGAGGCTTATCTCCGGTACTCCACTACTTACAAATATCAATACTATTGATGAAACCTGTGCATAAAAATTTATTTTGCCGGGTAGTTTAGATTTACTCCCCGAAGTGCTGCATGTTCAATTCACCAAGCCATGAAAGCTCACACAGTAGGTCAACAAGATTGTGGACAGAAAAAACAGGCCTGCGATAACGGCTATCTTGAGCTCGTTACTAGTAATGCAGTAATAACACCTTACGCTTTATGGACCAAAATCACAATCTTCATTCCAAGGCCTTGCAAAAACACGCGCGGCCGAAGTGCTCGGTGCACAGAAGGCTATATGGGCTGCTGTTTCAAATAGAAAAAAATGGAGACCCTCAAGCTTCGCCTTTAAGAGTTGAACGCGATGGCGATACCCTGTCCCCAAGGTGTACCGAGTTTACGGCTGCATTCTTTGTAATGGGTATAGCATGCCTTGAACCACGGACAATCATGCGCGTGCGCGTGAAATCTTCTCAAAATTGCTATGCGCCCACTACGTATACGCTTGAGAAGAAAAAAGCCGCAGTAACGTGTTTCTTTGTAGTGAAACCAGAAGTCATCAAAATAGCACGCTGTGATGCCCGATCGCAGTGGTAGCTTGTACCACGCATTATATGTGATATTAGATGCATCGTGAAGCATGTGTACATGACGCGTGTGGTTGTAAAGCACGTTCGCTGTATTTCCGAGCAGAAAAAGTTATTTTCAGTGTGTCTCGAAGCAGGCGCGTGGCTCTGTGGTAGAACACCCGCTTGCCACGCGAACGACCAGGGTTCGATTCCCGCATGGACCCAAACGACCCGAATGAAATGCGCACTCTGAACGAGGAATTTTTATTATTTTATTTTATTTGCATTATTCTCGATTTATCGGCCACGCACAAGATGCTATTTCTCTCACAACCAACGATGCCGAGACCAACGCCGGAATGTCTGTTAAGCGATTTCTTTAGCGCTGTTGCGTTAAAAAAATAAAACAAAAAAAGTCGCACCTGGAAAACAATTCATGAACGCCAGGCATTCGTACCCCTCCCCCTACCTACGTCCCACCGGAAGCATTTTTTTTTTTGTCCGAAAGCTGAACACACAATAGGAAGCTTTAGAATAACGTACGCAAAGCTTGCGGGCGTTCCGGGCATAGCGTTAGCTTTCCTCACTCAACGGGAGCCCGCAAGAGGTATATGTGCACGACGGATGCGCAACGCAAAGCATTGCACTGCACTGTTCTGAAACTACTATCAGCCACATCTGTGCAATCGGTGCGATGCTCATCGTATCAATTATCTCGTTGCTCAGGCACTGAGGTTACATGCGGGTATAGAAATAAAGCCACTCACCTTCGGCTGCAGTGTCCATCAACATGCTGTGCCGCCGACTGAAGTCGTCGAACTGGGCGACCAGTGCTAGCCGAGAGCCACTTGCTGCCATGATCATGCCCCTGAGAACAGAAGGGTCCAAAACTGAAGGACCATTAGCAAACCAGGGTCGAGAGCAGCGTCTTAGCGTCGTACTGATACCGTAGCAGTGGTATAGCCAGGAGGGTATTATATAGTTAGGGGTTTCGACCCTGCCCTCCAATCTAGACGCTCGAGTTCGTACAATTTCGCATCAATGTATGCAGGCACAACGCACACAAACACGCGCCCAAACACGCATAAAAGAAAATTCCCCCCCCCCCCCCAAGACCAACGAAAAAAAAAAAAACGTAGAGACTTTTTGCTCCTCCCTCCGCCACCCGTTTATTTTCTTAAGGGAACTCACATGTCGTATATGCTTTCCTTGTAGTGCACATATATAAGGCACAGGACAGTAATAGGCACACACAAAGACACAGGGTGCTATCTATGTGCCTAGATTTGTCCTGTCTATTAGGTACACTACAATGTACGCTACTAGGACCCCCACTAAATATGTGCTATTAGTACGTAGGGCTGTGCACGTAACTGGAATAAAGTGTAAATAAATAGGTTACTCGGCACCCTAACAAAAAAGGAACGCATTGATGGCTTACGTTGCATGAAACAGAAGATAACGTATCACCGTTACCAAGAAGTAATAAAGTAATCCACGTTGCATCTGCCGTTGCGTCATGATCAGAAATTTTAAATCTTGCACCCCCTCTGCAGGAGCTGGAATTACCATGCAATTTTATGTTTCACATGAAAACCTCCTACCGAAACAACAATTTCAGCTTATTTTACTGATATAACCAGATAACGTTGCTCAAGTGTGCTGGACCTTAGTAGCATTGCAATAGCCTAATGCTCACTGTAGTGTCGCATGTGATGGCTTCTAACTTTGTGGCAAATGGGGCCATTTATCAAGCTGACATTCAAAGCAGAAAGTGGGGCTTTATTATTAAATCTACCCGGAAAGAAGGCATCACTAATTTCTCAACAAATTTACAGTAATTATGACAGCGGGCTTTTACTGGCGTGCAAAGCATATGCGCAGACCTTGTAGAATGAAAGTGATCCGTAAATTTCGTAGTCCAGGAAAAAAATATTTGCAGCATTATTGCCCCTTTAACCCATATAATCGTCTCAAAAATCGCAAGTGTTTATGCGAAGATATTAAAAGCCTGCCTTGGTCGCTCAGGAATTCAACCACTAGCGTATGGCCGTAATCAGAAGCAGATGACAGCATTTTTTTTTTCAACACCGAACTTACAAAACCCGCTAAACTGATTACACAAATTGGTGACACCTGAAACTGAAGTTTAAGCGCAAGTTCTGTTTCAAAGTTCTCTTCGAACAGCTTGCCTCACTTCTCACCGAATACGTACCTACGTGCGCTCAATAGGGAAGTTGCCGACAAGACGCTTTTTCTCGTCTATTTGCGATACAGCTTGCCTTTGTTGACGAATACCTGCAGAACCAGCAGCCGCACTCCCGAAAGCATCCAGCCTATGGCTCTGCGAGTTTGTCTGGGGCTACCGGAATGTTCATCAGCAGCTTATACAATCGCGATCGCAAATGATTACCCGCTGAAGACGCATGTTGTAATGGAAGTCCTCAGAGCACACGTGAGGCACCTTACTCGCGCTCCTACCCATCATCTAGACTCAATGCCAAAAGACCGACCTCGTGGCTGATTTTGCTAGACAGTCTTGTCATATCGCACACGCATACCCACGGGATATACAACTCCGTCTAGAATTGCAACTCCTTCATGGTGTATGGCTCATCGACATCTTCAACTCATGCATCTTGCTAGGAAGCGCAGCCACTATTACAAAGAACACACAACACAAGCGCTTAACTTCAACTAAACGTTTATTGCAAACGTCAGAGTTTATAAAGGGTGTGAAAATAGAAAAAGAATAAAAAATAGTAGACAACAAAAAGAACACGTGCCAGTCCCGTACATTACTATCCATTATTGTCTATCACCCCATCCAAAAAACAGTTCTTTGCGCGTGAGCGAGATAGAGGGTGCAATAGCACAATCAAAATCATCGCGTGTCATTTCAGCCGCTCCTACTATCAAACGGGTTAACAAATCTCTGTCCCGATACAGCACGCACGTGTTATCGAAATAAGGCACACAACCGCACTCCTTACAGTGGATCGCCAAGTGTAATAGTGGCTGCGCTTCCTAGCAAGATGGATCCTTACCAACTGACCCGATACAGTTGTTTATTGAACTCATGGTTCCAGACATACGGTCAAAAGCCCGGCTCTCGTCTCCATCGCTAAAGCAGCTTTCTCTACTCTTGTTGTATGAGAAGTACAGTGAGCATAACCGTCTGTATACTGGCGCTTCAACTAAAATGGATGGGTCTGCATCTTTCCTGCAACAGCGACAACGACGAAGATTCGGTTATCCCAACAGACGTCCTTGACAGCTGCGGAACTTGCTGCACTACGTAGCGCAGTTATAGTCATTAAACACCAAGAAGCCTAAAAATGGAGCGTGTTCACGGACTCCAAGGCAGCACTACAGTGTTTGGTATTCGCCTTACGCCGGGGACCTCATGAACCACTAGTGCTAGAAATAAGAGAGCTGCTTCACCACCTCTTCGACGAAGGACACGAAATCACGTTTCAGTGGCTTCCAAGTCACTGCGGCATATTGGGCCCCGAACATGCCGATGCAGCTGCTCGATCAGCACACGAAGACGGTGAAAAAGAATATATTCCATTATCAAGGACAGATGCTGCAATGAAAATCCGAAAAATCGCTAGTGAAGAAGTCGATTCCTGTGGAACACTGAGTGCTTACGGCACACGTGACTGCATATATAGGCTGGACACGTCTCGTCGACTTCGGCCACCGTCCGGACTCTCTCGACTTGAGACAACGGTGCTTTGCCAACTGTGGCTGGGTGTCTCTTTCACCAAAGTTTTCGGCTTCCGAATCGGCATGGAAAACAGTGCTGCTTGCGGTCATTGTGGCAGCGATGAAACGATAGAGCACGTTCTTTGTCACTGCCCTCGTTACAGCGTGCAAAGACGGCAGTTGGCTGCTGCGTTAGCTCGCCTTAACGACAGACCTTTGTGAGAACAATCAGTGCTTGAAAGCCGACATGATCTGCCTTCGTACAGAATATCAGTGAAGGCCTTATCTAACTATTTGCGCGGTACTGGCCTATTGTATAGGCTTTAGGACCCCAGCTCAACTTTTTTTTTCGCGTGTCTATCTCGTTCTTCACTTTTTTTGCCACCTTTCTTCCCCACTCTCCCTCCCTTAGTGTAGGGTAGCAAACCAGATGCTCCAATTTCTGGCTAAGCTCCTTGCCTTTCTCTCTCTCTCTCTCTTGTCAAGGGACACATTAGATAATACACCTATTGCAAACTCCTGGCAGGTCAATGGCGGTCCGCCGCAGCGACTTATAAGAATAGCTCAGGAAATTTGGCGCACAGTAGACGAAGGAGTTTTGTGCAAGACTACCGGGATGATTGGAATAAGAAAGTAACGATTAACGTTACAGCCAACGTAACCGAAAAATCTTGTCGTAAGTACGATATCCGTTACAGTTACGAAATCGCAACGAATGCGTTACTAAACTGCCTCCCAAAAAATAACGCGTTACCAGTAACAAAATTATTTGTAACGCGTTACCCAAAACACTACCACCAAGCTAACATCGCATTCCTCGCTTGTTTCGGGTGAAAAATGCGCCCGCACAACAAGCCAGCCCCTTGAAGACAAAATCTACCTCCGCCCCCACTACGTCCTTGTGCCACAATTTACCGCGGCTAAGGTTTAATGCTGCGTAGAAGGGGAAACACAGCTTCCTACCAGTCTGTCAACTAGGCTCGGGCGACAACACACGCAAATACAGCCTTACGAAATGAAAACTGGAAATGAAGCACCACTCTGTTTACAAAAGGGGCGAAACCAAATGCACATCAGCGTCGCTCATTTAGAGACAATTTAAACGCGTCGATGCAGAACGCACGCACCTCTTTTGTCGGCGCTGAACAGTTCCTCGAAGGAACGGACCAGAGTGAAACGATACTTGAAGCTAGATAAGAACTGGAACAAGCGGATCGCCCCGGTTGTCGCTTGTAATACGCGCTGCATCCACCCCTATCTAGCAATGAGATTAGTTCAGTTAACCGCCGTTGTGCGGCGGGACTTGAAGCGGTGGTCTGGAAGCAATTGAGAAAAGGAAAAAAGAAAAGAGTGGCAGTATTCACTGCAAATAATGAAAACAAAAAAGGATGGTACAGTCGAATTTGTTGCATGCATGAGTAAATGCAGTGCAACTCGTCTTGGCTTATTAAAACATAGCCTCTTTCGTGCACTTGAGAAGGCTGTCATTGTGGCTTGAAAATGACGAAGACGCGCGTTTTATTTATTTTTATCCATTTATTGCTGCTGTGGTATCTGGTGAAATGGTAAAAAATTGTATGAAGAGACCTGGTGCTTGCGAAGACTTTTCGGCCCCTAAATAGACTAAGTCCAAAAAAGCATGGACTTGGAGACTTGTTCTTGTTGTTCGTGTACAAGCACTAGATCAGGGGCGGATCCAGCGACTCATTTAAGGGGGGAGAGGGGGGGGGGGGTCGGGGGGGTCCCGGCTTGTTTGTTTTAGTAGCACGAACACCCCGCCATAGCATAATTACTAATAATCTGTGCTGGCAGTGGCCCTAGCAAATTGTTTTAATTGGTGATAGAAGAGAGAAGACAAGCTCTGAAGAGAGAGGGTGCTGACACAGGCTCTGGATCCGCCACTGTTTGAGAATTGTCTTTGTAGTTCGTGTATGAGCACTTCGAGACTTGTTTTTGTTGTTCATGTTAGAACACTGTACTGAAAAACATGGCATCCGCAACAAGCTCCAGCTGTTAACATTAGGAATGCCACGCTCAACTAAAAAGAAAAGGTTGAGTAAATAGGGCGACACCCCCCCCCCTTTTTTTTGTATAAACGCTAAAAAAGTGGGGTAAATGGGGGGCACCCCTTAGCAAGTGTCCTTCCCTGAGA